GAGCAACTCACTTAACCTGCGTGGCTCTGTGCACTGCTAATTATGAACCCAGGCGCAAGAGAAGGGTTCACCCAGGGTGTAGTTAAATCATTTTTAAATCGAGGTAAACACTAGCCATGTGGATGAGTAGCACTCAAGAAAGTTTTTAATCAGCAACGTTTAGGAATCACCCAGCCTAATTGCTATAACTTATTAATAATAATAAATAATCTAGTCTTTTTATGGCCCCTGCCTCTGGAGGACTCAGTGCATTAAAGATCTCTAGGGTGTGAGTCTTTCAATACTTGTGGGGGAGGGGGCGAGGCTCCATGATGCTCCTTCCCAACTGAAGAAATCGGACGTCAGGGCTAAGAAAGGCAACTCTGAGTCCCTTCTTTCTTATGTTCTTCTACCCACATCTGAATCGCCAACTTACACATGGCCTTTCATCTATCTATAGGACCAGAATGGCTGTAGGGGCTGGGGGTAGGGGCGGGAGAACAGGCTCTCTTTGTTCACGTGAATGATCGGGGTTGAGGTTTGCTCCCTTGGGAAGTGAGTCTGAGCAGAGCTTTGTCTGAGGAGTTCATTTCCTCTGCACAAGTGTCCCGGTCATCCTTTGGGCTCAACCTGATTGTGGCTGGAGTGATCACTGGCAACTGCCAGCTCTGTACTTGTGTCATTTCCTGTAAGAACAGAAAAGATGGTGCTGAGGCATATTCTCAGAGTGATTCTCTACAGCAGAGGATGGGAAAATATTTGTGTAAGTGATCTTAAATCTTCCCCAGGCCACGGCATGGGTACGAGCATATGCTTGGCTCGTCAAGGAGAAACTTTGAGCTTAGAAGGGGTAGATGATTGACTCTGAAATGATTCTGTGTGGTTAGACAGAAGGGAAAGGATCACACTCAAGTTTGAGACCCTTTGTCTTTTTGTTGTTGTTGTTGTTTTGCTATAGGGTGTGTGTGCTCACTGGAGAGAGACAGGGAGAGGGAGAGGGAAAGTGAGAAAGCACCCTCCCTCCCTTGGGGGAATGGCCATGTTAAAATCCCTTTTCTTCACATTTTGGGCATGCACACACATGTGCCAGGAGCATTTTGCAAGCTGCGGGCTCGGGACTCAAACCATGCAGTCAGCCATGTGGGATCCAGCCGCCTCCACCATCATACCACTGGCTGGCCCAAGGCCCTTTGCTTTGTATAAATGGCGACTGTCTGTGGTTTGGGGATGCGAGTGGTGGGCATGAATATTGGTGTAGAGGGTGGTCAGAGTATTTCCGTGGCTAATATCTTCTGATGTCTACAATATTTAGGGAGTGAATTATAGCCAAGCAGCACAGAAAATACCTTCTTCTCACTTATTCCCTGTTTCCTGTTCATGAACTATTTGAGTCTGAACCCAGATAGCTGTTTCAGTCTGGAAAAGTGAAATTCTAAAAAAGGTACCCAAGCCATTATTACACAGAGCAAAAAGCTCCGCGATGCTGAGAACAGAATGATTTATACCACAGACCACAAAAGACATAAATTTAGAGTGTGAATTACAAGATAACTCATGTGCAAAATTGTTGCAATATTTTTACGCATGTTTATTAAAATTTACATTTGAATAAAAAGGTGCAAAATATAGATGAGGCCGAAAAAGAGTTTTTGAAACAATTTAAAATAGTTTATATGAAAGTCAAGAAAGATTTTGGAATAGAAGATCCGAATAGGTTTCCTTACAGATTTGTCTGCTAAAGCATGAAATGTACAAAGAAATGGGGAGGAGGAAAAAGGTTTCTAAATTTCTCCCTGAATTTCACTCCTCCCCGTCCACTGATATTTTCCAGTAATTCAAATCAGTACTGAATTTCGAAGGAATTGTCATGTCAAAACTCACAGAGAGGAGTTTGAGGATTCTGGACGGATGTCGAGACTGGATCCGTATTTGAAAGACTAATCTTATTTCACTTGTTGTTTTCAAGGTTGGAAATTTTTGTCTGTATTCATTAGAGGGGAATGATAAATCTCTAATTTGTACTTTGCTAATAATAGTGATGAGCTTTTGTGCTGCATGAATTTCATGTGGTCCTAGCTCAGCCTTTAACTCTGTGTGTGACCTTGGGAAAAATCTCTTAATTTTCTGGGTCTCAGTTTCTTCATCTGGAAAATGAGGGGTCTAGACCAGTGATAAGGCAGGCCATCTCTGTTTCCCTCCCTCTTGAGTGGATGTGTACCCTGCCAAGAATTAGGACCCACAAAGGTGATTAAGACACATACATTGCATTTATCTTCAGGAGCCCATGGTCTACATAAATAACTGGTTATAATATGAGCTATAATTGCCACAGCACGAATTACTTTGGGAGCGCAAAGGCAGAAACGGTGAATTCCCTCTCTGTGGGGATAGACTTCACAGTGGCTGTGACATTTGAAGACTGAGTAGGAGGGCTCCTTCAGGTGTGTGGGCTGGTCAGAGAGAAGGCGGTTCAGACGGGGTTCCAGGAAGCGAACATGTGAAAGTGATATATATATATATATTGATAGGGATCTGCACGGCATTCCCATCAGTCTCTGGGCAGTGGCATCTCATGCACCACTGGGTCAGAATTTCTACCCATGATGAATCACTGAGACGAGAGGATACTGTCTAGCATGTATCTGTTAGCGCAGACTCAAGGTTGTCCTGGAATGGCACAAATAAGTCAGCTCATTTGCATCCCAGTTGGCTTTCTTGAGTGTGAGACAAAGGATGGTATTTTAGCCAACTCCCTGGAAATTACAAGCTTTTGATCTGTTTAGTGCCACATCCACCAGCCTGGGTGAGCCCTTGGGAACATGTGTATTGATGTGGATGACATTCCTCATGGGGTTTGTGTGTACCCGAGTGGAATGAAAACTTCTCCCTCAGATTTTCTCTTCTGGCAATCTGTTAACCCACCAGGTGCAAGTTTTATCTGCACCATTCATGGTCCCTTGGCTCTTTGTGAATTTGTAGGAGTTGATGTTTCAGGTGACAACCAGCAGCCATATCAGAGGTCAGTGATACAGTTCTTACTTATTTTTTTAAGATGAAAATAGCTTTAGTTTTAATATTTAAATTAAACATGTAAGCTATGTTCATTGCTAAAAATTAAAATGATATAGGGCTGGTCCTGTAGTCTACTGGTTAAGGGTCCATATCTTCCATGGCTGACTATGGTTCAAGTCCTGACTCCAGTGGCTTGAAAAACATGCCTGGTGGCTATGTGATCATGCTCCGAATCCTGACAGGATAGAGAAATGGAGAAGGGATTGCAGTATGACTACATCTCATTGGGGATGCTCCCCCCTTCTCCATCTCTCTGGTCAGTGCATGTCCCTCTGGCAAAAAACAAAAACAAACAACACACACACACACACACACATGCATTAAAAAGAAAAGAAATGCTTACATAAGATGATCTAAAAATTAAAAAAAATCTCTTATGCTTATTTACGAGTAATCAGAGTTATTAAATAACCACGTTAAGTGTGTGTACAATAATTCATTGCATGGGATATATTACTTTTGGTTTAATTCCCTATCAACAAATAATCAAGTATCTGTTGACTTCTTTTCTATTTTTAGTTACTAAATTAAAATTCTAAAAGTAGTTTTGTTGGATCAAACAATGCGTATTTTAACATTTCTACATATACTGTCAAATTATCTTCTAATAGTTTCATATCTCTTTACAACCCAGCCAGCAGGGCAGAAACTGGCTCACACCTTGTCTTCTTTCTATCTTTGAGGTACCAAGTAAGAAACTCTGAACAGATGAGAATACTTTTGGGGTGATTGGGAGGTGATCGAAGCGCAGGGTCAGCCAGCACATGGTATATGTACATATGTTCACCAAGAAATGTGTAGGAACATGTTTGTCGTCATTCCTAATGACCAAACATTGAAAACAACTCAAATGTCCAACGACATCAGAATGGAGACATAAATGACGGTGTAATCACGCAGTGGCATCCTTTACAGCAGTGAGTATGAATCATCTATATGCAACAGTGTAGAGGATGCCACCAGACACCGTGGCGCATAGTCAGACATAGAAAAACGTGAATGCTGCATCGGTGCTTTTGTACCAAGGTCAGAAACAGGCAAAATGAATTTATGGCATTAAAAGTCATGTCAAAGGGTCATTTGGGGGGGTGTGTGTGTGTGAGTGACTGCATATTGGTTCATGTTTTTTGCTCTATGCGTGTTACCTAGTGCCAGACAGGTGCTTGACATATAGCAGCCTCTCAAATATTTTTTTTAAAAAAGTACACTAGTATCTTTTCACCTTTCTAACAGACTTGGATTTAGGATTTAGTATAAAACATAATGCTGCTCTTAGTTGCGGTTTATAATGTAGAGAATTTACATGACTGTTCTGCTTTTATGATTTAAAGATGGGACTATATTCATGGGCCCTTTCTCTGTTTATTCTCTGATGCGCCATTGTTTTTGTCATTTATAAATTAGTCAGTCACCCTAGCAGTGGGTAAGAAGATGGTGTTTGAAATCACACAGACTTGAATTCAATCCTCAGCCTGCCCTTCCACTCTGGGACCTTGGATGCATTACCTAACCTTCTGGAGCCTCAATTTCCCCATCTATAAGAATGATAATAGACCCTGCTTTATAAGGTTGTGGTGAAACCAATCATCTTACTGTTAAGAACAGCCATCAGTTAATAATGTTTATTATGTACCAGTCACTGTTCTAAGCCTTAGAGTGGATGACATAAAATAATACGTGTAATCTTTCTAATACCCCTCTCTGTTTCACGGTTTAGAGAACCGTAAGTCACAGATGGGGTAAGCGCCAGCCAGAATTTAAACTCGGTCCTATTCCAGAGCCTGAGCTCTTAGCCACTGCCTCCCGAGTAAAGGGAATACTGTGCAGGAGTGCTTAGCACAGCCAGCATGTGTTAGTGATGAGCATCATTGTCCTTTTCACCATAATTACTAATGTGTTTTTCTTCTCTTTCTCTCTCCCCCTCCCCTATTTTTCCTCTCTCCTAACAGATGTTTTTCAGCAAGGTAAGTTCCACTGCTTTCTGCTTGCTTTCTCATTGACTGTGCTGTTTTGGTAACAAGGGTATAGTCTTTGTGCAGGGTGTTTTGGGGCTTCACATTTTCTGTGGCCATACCATATAGACTTCAGGGGACACCATGAGGACATCAGCCTCCAGGGTTTCTGTTGTCCAGCCTCTGCTTCTTCCTTTGAACCATACTTGGGGTTAGGGTGGGAACTGGACAGTTGAACTGGGACAACTGGGAGGGGTGTATGGTGGGAGCAGGGATGCTGTGGGACAAGGGAGATTGGTGAGGGGCAGGTGTCTCTGGATGGGGTCAGGTGGAAGGCCCCTGTCCCTTGGGGCCCGTGTATTGACCAGCTGCTGTGTGGTTAGTGCCATCTATGCCAGGACCGCTGGAGGTTTCTTTGTTGAGCACATAGGCCACTTTATGGAAGTATGGAAAGACCATGGCTATCTGGCTACTCTGTGCCCCTCAACCCTGCTGTACCTCACAACCTCACCAACTTTTGTCTCAAACTGAGATGGTGCCAGGTGAGGGCGTGCAATGCCATCTGCTTTATCAGCCAAGATCACGCATCCCAGGGAGCTGGAAATTAAAGCCTAATCCCACACTGCATCTTCTGGCCTGTGTAAACATCCCCACTTAGAATGCACAGCCACTGTATTCTGGAACATAGAAGGAGACCCATGGGTCACAGCCTCATTGAACCTTCTAACACACATTAAGGGGAAACTGCCTTTTTATCGCAGCTTGAAACGACTAGGTACAAGTGGCAGGGCATCACAGTTTGCACTCAAACTGGGAAATATGTTTGTGGGACACATCTGCTTCGTCTTTCTAGAACCAAAGCTGGCTTAGAATAAAAGAGGCTGGTTTAAAAATACAGGCAGGCATTCCATAAATAGCTTCCGCATAATCTTACAAGCTCGATATTTTCACAACTGTTATTTCACCCCAAACATGCAGCGTGTGTTTCGGAGAATATCTGCTCTTCTCTGATAGAAGCGCAGTTGTGAGTAACAATACGAGTACTGTAGTGTTGTCTTGTAAGAGTCTGGAGCCATAGACCTACTTTTATAAATAATTCATACATCCCAACAAGCTATAAGTAATAAGTTCCATTTGGCTAGAGACTAAGAGTTGAGCAAAATTGAAAAGGTGCCGCGACGGTTCGTGTAATGAAAGTGCTGCTGTCAGGGCCCGTTGCTGCAGCCGAGTTCTCTTCCTTGACAAATTAGGGGTTCTGCAAGACGCTCTGGGAAAAAACAAACAAACAAACTATATATAGTTTTTTTCCCCCTACTACAAACTAGAATGCAAACACCACCCTATGCTGAATTGAATTTCTCCTGTTGAAACACAAAATGCTTGAATTTGGCAAGTCTTTTTGGAATAGGTGTGCCGAGGCTTCTGGAGAATGAAGAGGGACGAGGCTTGTGTTGGATCTGGCCTTTCTACACACAATGGCGAATGGTTGCCGTTGTAATTGGCATAAAACATGGCTGTCAGACATCCTATGTCAAGTTTGCCTCCTTTTTGAATCAGTCATGCCATTCGATTGATGGGATTTGCCTGTCAGTAACAATGATATGCAGAGCAAAAGTTATAATCATCTACAAATCACGGGCTATTGAGACTTAATAGCATCTGCTGGAGACAGAAGCCGCTCGCTACCCATTGCGCCGTGTGATGGTGGGCGGCAGCTCCCTTGTGAGATATTACTAGGATTTCGAATGGAGAGACCCGAACTTGCTTTCGTGAATTATTTACACAGCTCTGGCCTGACAGGACCATTTCGTATGGAGGCCCATTCTCTGAAATGATGGTGAAGACCTTGCCGGCTGGTACTCCTTTCTTAACCTATGTGTCTGCCTACTCTGTTTATGGAAGGAGTGCTAAGTAAAATGTCCAGCCAGTATCAGTCACATCAGACCAACACAAAGTCTAAAAATCTAGACAGAATCTAAAAGCATGTTCTACACGTCTTTTGTGGGTGAAACCTCACAAGAATCGTGCTGTTAACTTGAAACACGGGGACAATAAATTGTGCTAGAAATAAACAAGCAGAAACCTACATGGCTTCGAATGAGCAGATGCCACTGGGTCATCTTCTGAAGGCCATCCACACAATGGCAACTCTGAGTGACTCTGCCCTCCCAAGCATGCCGTGGGCATCTAGGCCTTGCTTGCTTTGTCTTGGCCAAGGAGTCATGGGCAGTTAGCGGAGGCTGGGGAGGGTGCGGCTTTGCATGTGTGGGTAGGGAGTGAGGGGGTCCTCTTTGCCCAGAGGAGTCGCTGTGTGACTGGACTGCTGTGCACTGTGGCAGGCAGAAGAGAGAAGCAGGCTTGCAGTTGTCAACATCAGACATTCTCAGAGGAAACAGAAGTTATTTCCTCTGGATTGCATTATCTTTTATTTCACTACAGATCAATCTTGTTATAGTAGGTGACAGCGCAGCAGCTACTGCTGGTTTTGCTCGGCTGTATCCGTGGTGCGTGCGTGTGGGAGCGTGTTCCTACCCTGCTCCTGTGCCATTTTATTGCTTGTTTCAGTTCTTTCATCTGTAAATGCCACTTGCTGTGGTGCTTAGACCCACAGGGTCTGAGGACAGTGGAAGACTAATAGGCTTGCAGCTGGGACTTCCTAAATAAGAGTTTTCTAGGGCAACAGAGACACATTTTCAGGGAGCCTTAATTGACCCATATCCCCTGTTGTCCACAGAGCTCCCAAGCCATCGCTGGGTTCTCAGAATTCCAAAGTGCTATAGAATCGCTCTTCACAACACAAAATATGGTTGGAAATGCTGTATGTGCACATCTGTTATCTTGAGTTTTAGAGCACTGTGATACCAATCGTTTGATAATGATCAAGTCAGGACCGCCCCCCCCCCAACATACACACACATGCACACGCCTCGTTTGAAGTTACTGAAGCATCTTTTGAGTGCTCATTCATAGGCTCAGCCTTGATTCTGAAATTGAACAGAAACCAAGTGAGCAGCTTGGAAATCAGAGCAGTTTCACTCAGCGGGGCGTTTTAAAGCGTAACGTGGGCACAGTATAAAGATCTCACCACTGAGTTAATTCTCTCTGGGTTGTCACCTGAAGTCCCTTAAAGACTGAGCCCACAAAGGCACAAGCTTTCCTCCTCCTCCCTGGTTTTGACCTGCAGCTGGGATCTTAATGAAGAGATTCTTTTTCTTCCAGGTCAAGTAATTTGTGGTACCTCCCAAACAGTGCACGACATGTTTATTCTACAGGGAGTAAATATGGGCCAGACGCTGTTCTAGGCCTTGAGGAGAGGGGCGTGAACAGAAGCACCTGTTACGGAATTTACAGGGTGGCTTGAGGGACATTTTGTAGCCAAGCAGACAGACAAATCAACAAGGAAAATTCAGAAAGGGATAAGTGAAGAAAATATCTCAGGTTGATGTGCTAATGGCTAGGAGGGCCACCTTAGATGGATTGGCCAGAGAATGACAAAGGGACTAGTAATAGGAGAATCTGGGGTGGGCAGCAGAGGAAATGACAAAGAAATACCCCATTAGGCAGGAACACCCCAATGCTGCAGGCTCAGAAGGCACTGAGAGTGGCTGGAGTCCACTAGTGGAGGAGAGAGTGTGACATACAACAACAGGGACCCATGTCATGTGGAGTTCAGAGGAAGGAGGTCGAAGGTGAGTTTTAAGCAGAAGAGTGGCATGGTCTCATTTACATTTAAAAATGACCACTCTGCCTTTGGTGAAAATGCACAAGAGCAGCGAATAAGAAGGGGATAGCTGGGAGCAGACTGAGTCCTGAGCAGGCTTAGGCTCTAACTGTAGCCTGAAGTGAATCTCTGCTGTCCTGGACAGTGGGAACAGGCAGCTCCATTCCTACCTAGCAGTCCTCTCCCAAATGTTGACTTTCTGCGTATTCGCCTGTGGAGAGTCTTGTGTACATGGCTTACACCTCCTCTCCTTAGGTTGGCAAATGACACTCATCGAGGACATCGTTATAATATTTCTAACATGTCTTCAGATTTTAAAAAGCCACTTTTCTCCAATGAATTCATACATACATACATTTATACATGTATATACTATGTATACCACACACATATGTTTTATATATGTAATATATGTAATATAATATAAAATATATTGCACATGTATGTTACATATACACATATATCACATGGACACACATATATACACACACACATATATATATATATTTTTTTTTTGGAGAGATTTTCACTGTAGGGCGCGTGTGCTCGCCAGACAGACAGAGAGAGACATAGAGACAGAAAGCGAGAAATCACCCCCCAGGGGGGATGGTCACGCCACAATCCCTTCTCCTCCATTCTCCTCTCGGGATCTTGGGCACGCACGCACACGCACCCAGCGTGAGTTTTAAGCCACCGGGTCCGGGACACGAACCGCGGTCGACTACGTGGGAGTCCAGCGACATAGCCATTACGCTAACTGCCGGTTCCCGTACACACACATATATTTAAACTCAGCTGAGTATGATATAGAAGAAAGAACAAATCCAAGACTCCAGGGCCCCTGGCCACAAGGAAGGGAGAGGCCCTCTTGGGGCTGTGGCCTCTGGGAGACCACATACACGTGCATTTGCCATGGGTGGCCACTTCCGCATATTGAGGTCAGGCAAGAGTGTGTGTCCGCAATTGTCAACTATCTAGAATGTTAAAGAGAAGTCAGAAATATGGGCTTTTCACCTTGCCATGTTCAAACTTTTAATTAAAACTTAAACAAATAAATTAACCCAAAATGTGGCCAGAATGGCCTCTGATCTCGGTTTGGAGGTCAATGCTTAGGAAACCTCAGTTTTGCTCTCCGCAAGGTTGCTGGCTTTGTGAAGAATGTGGCTGGTTGCTTTGTCCACTGGCCACAGTTTTCCCATCTGTAAAATGAGAGTCAGACATACCCTTGGTCCTGATTGGCTTTCTGTCAATGCCTTATCTTAAGAAGTTTTGTGTGGATTTGAGGTAATAG